GACACATGACATCCTTTCATGACTTGGGTTTAAAAAAATCTTAAAATTATATAAGATAGACTCAACTATATGATAATGTTTTTAAATTATTAGTTGCATTTATGTAGTTTGAACGTTAAAATTTGGTACAACTTTTTTTAACAGTACAAACGAATACATTTACGTTTTAATCGGCTTTCTGGGCCTCACTCTTTGTTTTACTTTTAGCATATTAAATTGTAAAGCAACGAGAATTAAAATTGAAATGCTCATCAAGATCAAGCGTATTATATTTATAAAATACCTTTATAGGATACATAAGAAAATACTAATAAAATAGTTTAATTAAAAAAATATATAATAAAAAAGCGCGAGCGTTTTAACAGAACGAGGTCAGGTCTTTTTATTTAATTATATTCAAAAAAAATATTTTTTAATATAAAAATATTGTTTTATGTTTTGCTTTTCCAAATGTTTATGTCAGCTCGTTGACCATTTAAAGCTTCCCATTCGTCCACGTGGATTTGTTCTGACATATGTGACCCCACGAGTGATTTTATATGATTATATAAAAAAAAAATCATCCCTTCCGTATAAACATAATTAATTGAAGGGAAAAACATATACTCATAACTTTTGTATTTGGTGTTTCTTAACACTAAAGAACGAATAATTATCTAAAGTATAATCAGAGATCTTTAATAGTAATAGAACAACACAAAGTAGTAGTAGTACTATTGTTTAATGTTTTCATAAATCTTGATAATATATATACGGGTGAAATCATTCAAATTTTGTTTTTAATTAAATTTTATACGAAAGTACATATTAATGGAAAAAACAAACAATAATCTTTACTTGTAATCATCGATGCTCAAAACCGAAAGGTGACAAAAATAATTAATGGTCAACGATTTTACCCACCACTGAAAATTCCATCCCCACTTCTCTAGCGCGTGAATCACACGCTCTAACAAAGAGCCCACGTAAATCCCATCGCACGTACAGGGATCAAAAGCGTGTACAACACACGCAATAAGCGCGTGAGTAAAACATTTTCGTAATAATACGTATCGCTAAGCTAATAATAAGCTACCTCTCTAAAAACCAACCATTCAAATTTCATTTATCTAAAATTTATACTGTATTTTCGAGAGAAAAAAAAATTAATTAAAAAAGAGAAGATTTTTCCATTTCAGAGAATAAAAACAAAAAAGAAGTACGGTTTCATCAATTTTCTCGCGCGCCAAACATCCG